CCTAGGTGACGCCCCAAAATCCTACCTTGTGATTGGCTCGTTGCTTGGACAGAGGTAGAATTTCAGGTAAAATAAAGGATCTGGAAGCTTCTTTTCTACATTAACTTTAAACTTTAGAAAAGTACCTCGCATATCTATTTCAACAAAGAGAGGATTCAGTCCAACAAACCAAACTCCTACATACTTTAAAGCCGTCAATTATACATGTATGAGTGACATTTTGGTGGCTTAGTGTCATTAGATGTACTTCCAACTTTCAACACTGCAAACAGTGTGCAGCAGGAGTTTGCGTTGTTCATGACCAAATGTTAGCGTGTTCATGACCGATGTTAGCGTGTTAAATTTAGACATAAACATCCATCCACCTTGATTTTAAATCCTGTTTAGTATGCTGATACTGACAGGAAGCACTTCCAGCACAGGCAAAGGGGCGGGCTACACTCCGCACAGACCACCAATCAATCACAAGGCTGACATACAAACAACCGGTCACACACAAGACTGCAAATACAGGCAATTTAGAGGCAGCAGGTACCCCAGATAGCATGTTTTTGGACTGTGGGAGGGAGTCAGAGTACCAAGAGGGAAGCCGAGTACAAACTCCACATAAAAGCGATGAGACTCATATAAGAAATCTTACTGCTGCCGCCGGCATGAACATGACAAACACAGTACAAAAAAAAAAGTCTCTTTTTGAAATTGTAAAAGCTTTTTACCTAAAAGTGTAACAGCAGCCTAAAACAGGTGTAGATCTTTCAGTGCTTTGCTTTGTTTTCCTGTCATGAGAGTTACTCTGAGCAGTAGTCAGTTTTCTTACGGTGTAACTCCAGCACAAATAAAGATATCTGCAGGAGACAAAAAAAGAACCAAAGCCTCCAAAAACAAGAGCTGCGAATGGTGGGCATTGATTCAAATGAATCCTAACACATCGTGACAGATTTCCCCCTAATAACTACCCTAGATAAATGTAATGCACTGCCCCTGAGATAAGCCAAAAACCTGTAAGTGAAGGCCTTATCAAGTTGTTCCAGAGCCTCAGCCCGCAGATAGAAGAATCAAGGGGAAGTAACAATAAAGACGAGAAGCAGCGTTTCCCCATGAGTCAACAAAGTTTATTGTTTGGCAGCACAGCAGGGAGCTGTGATACTTGATTAGCTCCAAAAATTGCTCTCCTGTTCTCCTTTGTCATTTTCTTCTCTGTCGCCTTTCCCTCTCCTTCTTGTTTCCTGTTTACTGTCTGTCTTTTGTAATGAAGCTTCCACCGCTTTTATGTCTCTGTTATTTATCCATTTTATGTGGGCTCTGACTGTCTGCTAACTAAGTGTTTAAGTCTCTGTGTGTGCGTGTGTGTGTGTGTGTGTGTGTGTGTGTGTGTGTGTGTGTGTGTGTGTGTGTGTGTGTGTGTGTGTGTGTGTGTGTGTGCGAAAATAATTATGGTAAGGTGTGAGACAGGACACATTGTGTTTGCGTGCTTTGAAGGTATGAACTTGTCAAAACTGTCTGGATGAAACTGTTAATATGGGCGGATATTTGTGCAAATCACAGATATCATTGGTAAGTGTGTGTGTGTGTGTGTGTGTGTGTGTGTGTGTGTGTGTGTGTGTGTGTGTAAAAGCTCATCATGCTTGTGCTATCCTTTTTCTGCCACATTGCCATGGCGACAGTGCCCTCCCGGGGTAATGGGGGACGAGTGCGCCAGAGCTATTTATTCTCTTTTTCTCCTTCCCTCCATCCATCCATCGCCCTCTCTTCTCCTCCATCTTCCTCTCTCTCTCTCCTCGTCACCCTCTCTCCCTCTCTCTCTCTCTCCATCTCTGCCCTCTTCTTCCTCCTGCAACCTCTCCGTCTCTCTCCGTCTCCCTCCTTCCTCTGCTCTTTCTTCCCCTCTGTGATTGGCTTAACACTCTCCTCCTCAAAATGAGATACTGCCTAATGAGACAGAGGGTGAGGAGGAGAGGGAGGGAGGGAGACAAAGAGCAAGTGTCTTAAAAAAAGGAAGTAGAAATATGTGGGGGAGGCGATCTATGCAGACTTGTGTTCCTTGTTGCATGTAAAAAGGAGAAAACGTCTGTGATGTCATTGAGAGGGAAACGGCGCAGGTTGTCTTTGTAGTGAATACATGAAGCGTCTCGCCGTCCTGCGTGTCTGCGTCTGTTAGTACCTGCAGGTTGTATCTCGAGGTGTGAGGAGGGGCTCTTTAGTGAGAGATGGGGCTCAGCTGGGCTCAAAACCCCTGAAATAACTTAGAGATTGAAGGAACTCTGACAGAACAGTTTGTTTATTTATACTGAAGCAGAGTTTCCTAACCTTTGACCTGTATCCGACCTCCAAAAACTTCTTGACTTCTTGACGTAAATGGATTCTTAAACAAACAGGGATAAGAGGGATTGATTTGACGATGAAGTTTAGAGCTCCTGTGAGGAACTCGGCGTCCTTGTTGATGATGGCGCCCCCTCTGGACAAAGCTGTACCTCATCTCTGCTTATTTTAGTGATTAATGCTGTGACCATAGACTGTATATAGAATTGACACCATCTGCCTCCTCACTGGGTGACGCCACTATGAGAACAGCACCCTCTGGTGACGGGCTGCAGTATGACATGTGTTGATGATTTGTGTTGTGTTGCAGATATGTGCTGAGTCGACCAAAATTCTGATTGGTCGACTTGATTTTTTTTTTTGCGTCAATTTACAGCCTATAGTTAATTTCATCAGGAGGAACGTACCAAGTGCTAATGGGGGTGTTTTCAGAGCACAGGTGTCTCAGAACACCCCCCTTGTTTTCACCAATTTGGATTCGCCAAACCCACTGGACACCGGCCGAAGACAGGAAGATTGAAGAGCGTCCACGTTAATCAACATCCGGTGGGCAAAGGTCCCCTCTCCTTCGCCTCTGATTGGCTAGAAAAGCTGAAAACATCATCAGACGCTCAAGCCAAACGAGGGCTCTGCATACTGAACAGAACATCGAACAGAACACTATTGCACTTCTGAATCTCCTAACCCTAACCCTAACCCGACGGACGATTACATTTCACAGCCATAAGGAACAACCAATCGGAGCCCAGCACTTCTAGCCAATCAGAGGTGAAGGAGGGCGGGACCTTCCCCTACCATCCTACAAAAAAAGAAAAAATTTGCATCCGGTGGTTTGCTGAATATTTATTCTCATTTTGAGCGTTTCAACTTTCAACTATCCGTATATTTTCGAACCGCCAAGCCGCCTTATCCCTCGCCGCAGAAGGGTTTGCTGCCCCCTCCATTAGTCGATTTTTGGTCAAGAATTTTTTTCAGGGTTTTAGTCGACCAAGAATTTTTTAGTTATGTATTGAAGTTTGTTCGCCATATTCATCTTCATAGATATGCACAGGTGCAGTCCGCAGGTGTGGACCTGTGCACCTGACAGTCCCCAAAAGTGGCATCTCTACGTGCTCATATCTATGAAGACTGGAAATGCCCACTAGTAAGCCCTATTGACAGCAGTTTGAGTTGTTGCAAAAACAGAAAAGGGAGTCTGTTTTCTGAGAGCGAAACTTGTGTTTGGAGCTTATTATCCCCCGAGAGGAAAGTTACAGCACAGTTTCTGGCAGGAAGCCCTGAAGTTAGACACTTTTTGTTATCGGGCTTGGCTCCGAATTCTGAGTATGGACATTTGAGCAGAAAGGAATAGACTAAAGAGGACATTGACAGATAGGAGGAACAGAAAGAGTAACATCAGTCTGAAGCAGATTCAAGACTGGCTTTAACTCAGCTGGCGAGGAGGAAAAGCCCAGGAGAGCAAAATCACAAAAGCACCCAATTCTTTAACACTGTGGTTTTCATTCATAAAAAAATGGTTTAATATTTTAAGGTTGTTTAAGGTTTATGTGCCAAACTGCCTCTTTACAACCTGAACTCAGCTGTAACTGTGAGTAGCTTCCTGGAATGATTAATTGTCTCATCAAGAGAGGCGGTCATTCCAGACTAAGGATGCAGCGAAGAGTTATTTTAGCCGACACAAATAACCGCCATCAACCTGCACCTCATGACCAATAAAACTTCTGATGATCTTTTTATCTACGTATGTTGTAAAATGTGTAGTTTATACATGTCTGAAGGTAAGAAAAGGCAGAGACATAGTGAAGTATGTTGTCAATCAGATTGTGAATTTGCATAGAGATTATGATTTACCCAAAAGCAAAGGGTGGGTTATCAAGTGCTGTAATTTCACAGATATTGTAATTTACTGTTTTCTCCTGTAGATTTTTTGCAGTTCTCAAACCAGGTTTATAGTTTCAGTGCCAATGCTCGCTGTGTTAGCTCCTGCTTTGTATTTCTTCAGTGCATCATAGTTGTGGTGGTGATTTATCAGGATTCTTTGTGTGCTTGAGGACTGTCTTCCTCCTCTCACAATGCTTTTGATTCATGTTTTACAAGTTGCATTTATTAAATGCTCCTTTATCCACCTTAACAAGGCCAATAACCTGCAGACACCAATATCAATAAAGTTTGACATTGTATAAAAGGTGAATAAAAACAGAATATAATCATTTGCAAATCTATGAAAGTGTACTGCATTCACATACAGAAAAAAGGAAACTTTTTTTGAGTAATTTTTTCCTTCT